TGACTATGTTATCGATATATCGATGTTTAATTCGTGCCTATTAATCGATTCTATAAACTTGTCAGATATGTAATAACTTTTATAAAACTGGCAACATATTATTTCTATTTTGCAGAAAAGAAATCTAGCTAATGTGTAAAAGATTTGACTTGAAATAATACTATTTAACTGTTTAATTTAACAATAACAATACGATATATTTGTTTAAAAACACTCGATTGATGTCACGAATGAAATTTTGTCGCTGAGTGACATCACTAGCCTGCAGTGGGCAGCACTTGCATTTGTGATATCGAAAAATCGTATCGATAGCAATTGATGCACCCATATTTTGTACATCCCTACACTGTTGCATTTGCATAGCCAAAAAATGCCAACCTAAATAGTTGACTTTGCGTTTATTGTATTTCGATTTCGATAAAGACGAATACAGTTTGTGATTCCATACCCGTACACCCCTTTCCCCCTACAGCAAAGAAAACGACTCGAGATGAGCGACGCATGCGAACGGGAGCAGCGCAGCGAAAAGTGCGCCTCGCCGAAAACTGCATCAGGCACGGCGTCGATGACGTTGGCGTCAACAGCCTTGGAATCACAGTCTCACAACATAGTAGGACACCAAGAGCAGCAGCAGCAACAGCAGCAACAACAGCAGCAACAGCAACAACAACAGCTGCAGCAGCAACAAGAGCTATCTATGGCCAGTGGCAGTACACCGTCATCAAAAGCAGCAGCAGCTGCTGCTGCTGGACGACAACAACCGCAAGTGAGTTCCAGTGAGAGCGACATGCGAGAGCTGCGCGAGATTAAGCACTTGCTGTGGGGCGACAGTGTGCGCGAAGATGTATTCAAGCGTTGGTCTCAAGGTAAGTTGCTGTTGCACCGCACCACCCAAACACACCAACCCCAACCCCAACCCACCCAAACAGATAGTGCCAGCGGTTAACGAGCGCGCGCGCTTTTTGTGTGTGTATCTCTCTGTACACTATATATATATGTATAATACATACTATATGCATTTGCAGGCTTTGAGTTTAGTGATGTGGAGCCCTCGGCTTTGGTGCAAAAACAGGGCGGTCCTTGTGCTGTGATAGCGCCCGTGCAGGCGTACTTGCTTAAGATAATTATCATGGACATGCCAGGCATTCAATTAGCAAAGGTAAGCACCCTTATTCCTTTATTCCCCTCCTTAGTTGTATCCTCGCCCCGCCCACACTCTCGAAATGCCAATCGAAATTTAATTTTAATTTAATCTCATTACCAGCTGCCCAGTGACAAATGCCAGACTCTGCTCATTGAAGCACTATGCAACATATTAAAGAATTGTCGAGCGCCGCGCTATAAAATTGTCACACTACATCGGCGATCAACCAAAGAGCGTCGCCTGACGCCGCCAACTGATTCAATTGAGAATGCTGTGGAAGCGGAGGAGTCAACTGGTATTGATGCCGCCGATGCGGCTGCAGCTGCAGCTGCCACTGCTCTTGCAACCAAAAACGATGCAACAGCTATGGTCGCACGTTTCAATTTGGAATTGACACCGGACCAATTTCATGAGCGTCTCCACACGCTCCACTTTGAGCACATTGGCGAGGTGGCTCGCTACTATGTGGACAACTATAGTCAGCTATCGAATACGTACGGCGTGCTGTTGTTTATGTATTCGGTATTCCTAACCAAGGGCACGGAGCAGGTGACATCTGATATATCGGACACATCGGAGCCGCTGATACACAGCACATATGGCTATGGTGCGCAGTCGTTGATTAACCTAATGCTAACTGGGCGCGCTGTGGCTCATGTCTGGGACAATGAGCAGGACGTGGGAGGCCTGAAGCTGCGTGGCATTTGTGAGCAGAGCGATATTGGATTTATAACACTAATGGAGCAGATGCGCTACTGTACAGTGGGCTCGTTTTTCAAGAATCCACGCTACCCAGTTTGGGTAATGGGGTCGGACACGCATTTAACTGGTATTTAGTTATTATCTCAGATATTTGAATACTGATTTAATATTATATGGATTGTGTGCTTTTGCAGTTTTGTTTAGCAACGAAAAGAGGCTTGTCTCTCCAGAGACACCATCGGAGACTGGACGTCGTATCTTCAAGTCATATGATCCGGAGGGCAATAATTTCATATCGAGCACCTTGCTGCGTGATGTGCTAGCCGCATTGAATCTGGTCAGCGAGCCGGGATAGTGAGTTTATTCTTAATATCGTTTGCCGTTAGTTAAATAATATGATTCTTTCAATTTCATGTCATCTTCCAGCGTAAGTCTCATGCAAAAGCGTTTGGACCCTGAGAATCTCGGTATTATTCTCTTGAATGCATTCATGGATGAATTTTTCCCATTGGAGCGCCGCTCAACTCCCGATACTTTCGAGCTTATGCATTATAATGGCATACCCGGCTCTAACGAAAACAACAAGGTGAACAAACATTCGATTTGCTTAACATTTCATGGCACAGCAAAGGGAATATAGTCAATTGTTAGAGTTTGAGTGTCCTAATTGAGAAATTTATAAATTGTATTCCTAACAATTTGAATAGATTATTTTGAGTTTCAGATCAAAATTATGTATTACAACTGCATATAATGCCCACTTTGTATACAAGCAAAGTCATTTGATTTATAGCTCAAATTGACATTAGAAGTACGCATTCAGTTAATTAGCAAATCGAAATCATTATATATGTGACCTTGGTCAATTCATATTCGAGTTATTTATTACAACTGTAATTGTATTCAGTTGTCAGTCCGTTGAATTATAGCGTATAACAATCGAAATCAAAGCAATTTTAAGTATGATTCACAAGGCGATTAGATTTACAAAATATGAAACATTATGAAACTGTATTAGTTTAATGTATACAGACTCTAAATGATTTCTTTTTTTTCTTATAGGTGCGCTATTACTGTGGATCGGCAATATTGCTGGAGGGCGATCTGAAGTCGATTTGCACCTCAAATCCGATGGTCACATGTCTGCAGACCAAATGGCCCAATATTGAAATAAATTGGCACGATGGACACCTGCCCTCATTAAATTGACGTCCTAATTAAATAAAAAATAAAAAACAAAAATAAAAATAAAAAACAACTAAAAAAAACGAAAAAAAAAAAGGAAAAACTATTGCAAAGGCAGCAACAGCTAAAAAAAAATTGAAAAACAACTAGAGCAAGAATAGCGGCAAAATGTTGCCAATGCACATCTTTATTTCAAACACCTCTAAATTGTTTAACATGATAATTTATTGAAAATCGTTTAAAAAACAACCAAAAAAATGCAAACAAATACAATATATAAAAACAAAAAAAAAAAAAAAAAAAAAAAAAAAACAAAACAAAACAGCATAATAACATGGATGAGAAGCAACAAATACCCCCTTCACATATAGTCACACAAACACACACACACAGATAGGCATGCACCGAAGAGTGAGCACGCACACAAATTCATAAACACAGGGACAGAGACAGGAACAATCCTAGTGGAACGAGCACGCATTATTTGTAATTTTGCAACAATAATAATACCGATTGTTGTTTGGTGCATAAACATGCACATAAAAAATTGGAAAACGTATTGAAATGTAATTATTGTTTGCCATTGTAACTATAAGAGCCAGGAAATTATTATACATACTTATTATAACCCACACAAAAAAGAGACCCAAATGCAACAACAGCAAAATAAGCAAAGGAACACACACACACACAAAGACACATTCATGCACAAGCACACTCCCGCACTCACACACACAGACAAACAAGCCACACACACACACACTCTCACATAAAGAACAAAAATTTTTTGTTTATGGCCTTTTAACAAATTAATTGTAGTGTTTAAAACAATTTAATAAAATTAAAAACCAACTAAATGTATAAAAAATGGAAATGCGACTGAATCAATTAGAAAGGGATAGCTGGAGCTGGAATAAAAGAGAAAGGAATATACCTGCATACATACATACATACATACATACATACATACATACGTACGTGCATGGTTAGGCAGGGAAATTTATGTATAAATGTATGTACATACATACATATGTATGCATATTCTAATTCCGATATTTAATCCTCAGCCGATGACTAAAAAACAAATAGAAATGTAGCTGCGCAGGCTTTTTGGCATCCATGAAACCACAGTTTTGAAGATCGATCTAATATTTAAATTTGCAGTTTCCAAACAAGGTTTAAAAATCGTGTTTATTTTCTTGGAAGTTGTGAATTACGCTGAAAAGTCTTCATTAGCGACAGATGCATACATATGTATGTATGTATTTGATCCATATTGAGAAAAACAACGAACGCACCCCACTCGACTTCAGATATTCAAGAGAAAATTGCTGTTAAGGCGACTTTATTTATATAGTATGTATATATTGCTTGATCGCTGCAAGTCTAAAAAAAAAACTACAAAATGATTAAATAATATATCATTAAATTCTAATCTAGATTATATTTTATTGATTTGATTCCAGTTAAATGAAACACATTAGTAAATGAAAAACAAAATTAAGATCGATTGTAATGGATATATATATTTCTTTCTCCTATTCTGTATACTTCAATAAGCATTGCTGAGATATTTATGTATGTGTGGTCAAGATAAGGTTCGAACCGATAATACTTAATCGTGAAACGACTGTTTTAAGGTATGCCAATCTTATTATGATTCACTAGGATTATTAACAATCTGTGAACCATATATACAGGTGTCTGATCATTTATGCATGTTTAACCGCTGTTTACATTTTATTGCAATTTTCTTCTGCTCATGTTCGTATATAATTAGATTTGGTTTTTAAGAAAAATATTTCATGGTTGTATTCAACCTTACAAATAAACTAGTTAAAAAGTTATATTAATACGCAATCATTCAAGCAATTCTTAAGCTGCTTGCGATTTCAACGTATCTCATCCTTTTGAATTTGCAAATTTTTGTTATGGGATCTCAGATTAATAACGAAGCCATATACCAATCCGCGACAAGTTGGGCAAGCATAAATTACTTCTCCTCGCACCATTCGTTCTCCTTGCGAACCTGCTCCTCCTCGGCCGGAGTGAAATCCTTTTTAATGTTAAACGTTTTGCGAATGTCCTCGGGTGTCTTCCCCTTAATCATGTTGGCCACCGTCTTGCAGGTTAATTCCAGCAAGCCCTTGATATCCAAATAGTTGGCGGCTAAGATCAGTTCGAATAGAGTGCCCTGGTCTACTTTAAGAAAATCTGCATCCCAGGATGTGATGTCATCGGTACGCTTCTCTTTGCTCTCATCATCCTCGGTGGGCTGTGGATCATCCTTATGATAGGTGGCCCAAGTCAACACCTTTCTCAATATTGTTGAATTCACATTCGGCAGCGGTACGATCGCATTTTCATCATCCTCCATGCCACAATCCTCTAACATGGTGCGAATAGTGCCGGAACACTTCGCTATTTCAATATTGGTATCGAAAATTTCTTCATCAGAAGATTGCAATTTGATACTAGGCATGTTGATCTGCAAACGAAGAAAATCAGCCATTGTTAAAAACGACATGTATTTCTTTTTATGTTAAAAACTTAGCGGGATGTATTTAAACATGTACAAGCAAGCATGCGTCTGTATGCATGTGTGCGAGCGTGCGAGTGTGTTCGTTGCGCTTACTGTAAATAAAGCATCCGTCCGATTACACAAAACCTACTCACACACACACACATGCAAACTTCTAATTGTAAATTAATAAAAAAACCCCAGAAATAATTTACAATTTGCAAAATCATAATGGAGTATAATTTGTTGTCCCCCCCAGAAAGTTCGTGAATATTGTCTTTGTCACGATTACTTACCACAGCTACAAATAAAATGTAAGTTTTGAACAAATTTGGAAAAGTGTGAAGTTCGGATTAAAACAAGATTTATTTAATTTGAATTTACGGTGTCTTTGTTACGAAAAAAGACGCAACGAACACGACTTTAAGAAATAGAAATTAAAATTTACTTTATTGGAAAAGATACACGTCCGAAAGTACTTTGCGTTCTGCGAATCGAGTGTAGTCGATAAACAGTAAAAGCCAGAGCTGCAATTCAATTAAATAGATATCATATAATTTCAACGTCACATATATCGTATACGCATGCGAAAGATACCGATATTTTTTAAGCACCCACGATAATAATAATTATTATTATAGATCGTGAAAATGTTTTTTACAGCTTAAAATAAAAAGCCAAAATTTGTAAATAAATTTGTATTTTTCACACACAGGAAAGTAATTATATTCTTGATAGTCTTGCTTGAAGTAAAGTATCGATAGCTTTTGCCATATTCTAGGCTGGTCACATTTTAAATATCAATAAAAACTACTAGAATTAATATATATATGCCAGCGAACAGCTTGTTAACAGAATTTTATTTTCAGCTTTCAACGGATTCTGGAGGTGTTATTGAAACTGTTAATAACATCCGATTTCTGTTGCGCTTAGTTTTTGTCAACACTGCGCTGCTTCTTGTCCTGGTTCGGTGCTTTATTTTTTTCTAACGCAATATTAAACGCATTGACAATGCGTTATTTGTTGTTGGTACTCAATAATATATACAAATAAATATTAAATAACAATAACTCGCAAAAAACAAAAAACCTTGGAAAAAAAAAACAATAGGGTGCGCGTGTGTCAACATATTTCTTTGTATTTACATACATTATTTGTCTCCGTTAGTTTTTTTTAATTGAACGGAAAACGACAGCAACGACGGCTACAAAGTGCAAAAGCAAAAGCAAGTCAAAATCAACAGGTAAATATACTAATACAAATCGGACATACAATTACATATATATATGTACGTGCAATACGTGCAATACATATGTACGTACATACATTGTTTTATATACCGCTGTGTGTGTGATTAGTCAGTTATCTACATGGCATGAATACATCGGCACGTCTATATACACATGCATTTATTTAGATGTGTGCGTAAGTACACATACATAGATATGTAAATATATTATGTCGAGTACTTCGGAGCATCTCTGTTATTAAAAATGTCTGTCTGCACAGCGAAATGTCAAAATAGCAACAACAGTAAAACTATGCCGGCAGAGTGAGAGCGACTGTTGGTGTCATTGTGACAGTGAGAATTTTAATTGCGTTTCAAATATAAAAACATTGTAGCTAAAGGTGTAAAATGGCTAGTCGATTGGGAAATAGAATTTCTCTCTCCACTTCGCTAATATTTTCCAGCCCGGCATCATATTTGCCGCTAGCCGCTTGCCCCCCAAATGCCAGTACGAAGGTCAGCTAAACACACACACACACACACACACACGAACACATTTGTTTAAGTGTGTGTGTGTGTATGGGTGGGTGACACTGCACTTGCCGCTCAATTATTGATTTGCTTAGGGAGCAGCAGCTACAATAACAGCTGTCCGACATCAACATTTGGCATACCCAGTAGTAAATAGTGGACTCTCTTAAATTATATATATTTATTAACTATATAATTATACAATAAGTATAATGTTCTTCAATTTGAGCTTTCGGGTTGTATTTGGCTTTATTTACTCTATTTTATTTTTGTGGCTGACATTCAAGTATTTGCAGAGGATTCGCTTAGTTTCTAGAGGTTTCTAGAGGGGGCGAGGGAGTGCTGTTATTTGGTCGATGTTGATGTTGCTGTTGCTGTTGCTGTTGTTGCTCCTGCTGCTATCGCCGATGTTACTCCTGTTGCTTTCCCACAAAACGCAGGCCAACTGGATGAGGTCATTGCGTTATGCCACTAACCAGAGAACACATAGACCGGACACGTAGTGTAAAGTGTTTTGCACA